AGTAATGTATTAACATCAGTCACTGTTGTTTTCAACACCGTTTAATTGTAATGTATTAACATCAGTCACTGTTGTTTTCAACACCGTTTAATTGTAATGTATTAACATCAGTCACTGTTGTTTTCAACACCGTTTAATTGTAATGTATTATTATCAGTCACTGTTGTTTTCAACACCATTTAATTGTAATGTATTAATATCAGTCACTGTTGTTTTCAACACCGTTTAATTGTAATGTATTTTTATCAGTCACTGTTGTTTTCAACAGTTTAATTGTAATGTATTAATATCAGTCACTGTTGTTTTCAACACCGTTTAATTGTAATGTATTTTTATCAGTCATTGTTGTTTCCATCACTACTTAACTGTGATATTTAAGTTTATGCTTGTAAATACAAAATAATATTGTATTGAAAATTATTTTAACATGTTAAATATTTTATTATAATGTCCATTAATTAATGTAGGTGACAGTTTAATGGGTTGAAAGATAACATTCTCTAGCACGCCCTTCACATGTCTGTTGAGTTGAACTTTCGACAAACTGTTCCCACGTCAGCGGCTAGCATGTGATAAACGTGAACTGAAAGAATAGATTAATATCTACCAACTGGCCACGACAGGGTTCTTGTTCTTGTTCAAATTTCAATGTGGAACGGAGAACATTATATGACAGGAAAGTCGTAGAAGCTCTTTCTAACAATGTTTTTATTCTATTATTAAAACGCTATTGCAAGGAAGACTTGGCTGGCTTTATACATATCAGTATCACGGGACTGTTATCGCATTGCTTGAGCTTTTTTTGTGTGTGATAATTATTGGTATGTAATAAACTTGAATTGTAGTAGTTGTTAGAAATGATTGGATGTAGGACTTAAGAAACGTGATTTAATTACTCGACTATGACTTTTGAGGGATAATTGATACAGCCCACACAGTTGTACAGTTCCACAGTTTGTCTGAAGAGCCTTTAAAGTTTGATAGTGTCTGTTTACATTAATAAGGAAGACAGTATTTACTAAAAATACGCTTTTATTTTAAAATAAAATATGACAGTTGAAATATGACATACATGTTTTTTGTTTTTCGAACAAAATTTAAACTTTAAAGTATCATTTACGAATACAGAAGACATCTTTGTCTCAAGAGGTCCCACTTCGCAGAACCTATTGCTGATGGGAAGTAAAAATTATTTTGTGCTAACAAGTTTGTTTCAGAATTTCGTGCATAGTTACGCAAGGGCCGCCTGTGCTAGACGTCCACTATTTTTAACTAATACACCAGAGGGCAGGCAATTAGTCAACAGCATCCATCGTCATTTCTTTGGCTAATCTTGTCTATTCGAATAGTGTGTTTGGACTGTCACTCTTATAGCGTACCCATTGCCCCAAACTGCGGAGCGGGTTTATGAAGCAATGGATCGCGAACCATATATATATTTTGGATCACAGTTCGGGCACTCTAACCAGTAAGCCAAGCTAGGTACATTTGTTGTTATTATTTTTTAAAGTAAAAATAACTTATTTTATAGTTTGGCTAGAAGATTTGATTTGAACGATTGGATTTTGGTAGTAAAATAACAACGTGTTAAAGTGATCTATGCTGATGATGAAATTTGTGATGTGAAGGTTTCAAACATTTTGAGCCAAGATATCATATAATTCTCTTGAATTTCTTCATAAAGTCCTGTTTGAAAAGATCATACACAGCTGTGGAATTTCCAGTTGATTATCTTTCAATTGCTTAATGGTTAAAAGTGGGTGAAAATGTTGATCGTCACCCAAATATAACACTAAGCCCTTTGTGCAGCTGTACACTAAAAAACAAAAACAAAAAACATACCACAAAAATCTATATTACTACTCTGCCGTCATCAGTTAGGTATCCTCGCTGTTAATTATGACATACGACAAAAATCTATATTACTACTCTGCCGTCATTAGTTAGGTATCTTCATTGTTAATTATGACATACCACAAAAATCTGATTAACATTATATGTGTTCTACCCACGAGAAGTGTTTCTTACACTATGTTATTTATATTTCAGCCATCCAGTCGTTGGACTGTCTTAATGATCAGATTGTGCAGTTTATCTTTTCACCTAAGGCAACAGAATTTGAACTCGATTCTTATAAATGTGATGATCCAGAAACAGCAGCCAGATGTCAGCAACAACGCGAAACTCTCAAGTCGTCTATGGCTCTCATGCGGCGCCTTTTGGTGGACGCTCAGGCCAAATTCCGTAAGATGATGGAAGATAACAAGGCTCTGGCGTCGAGACTAGACGGTGACATACAGAACGCTCACCAAGAAGTGTCCATCCTTCGCGCAGAGCTGGCGGATACCAACAAAAAGATTGCCGAAATAACCACCAGTGGAAACGCTGCCTCCATCACGCAGGAAAATATGTTGACTACTTGTGGTCCTACTCCAAGAAATACTGTGATCTCAACCAACCAATCTGAACTTAATTCTAATATTCAGAACCCAGACGTTCCACTCTCGCCTAATTCAAACTCTAACTTCCCCAACAAATCGCCAGCAAATGTTAGCGAAACGGCGGGTTTAAAACAGACTAGTCCAGTATCTCTTGTGAAAGACAAGACCTCAAATATGCGTACTACAACGACTCCTAACGACGTCTCTTGTGAAAGATGTAAAAGTAAGTATTAAAATATTGTTAATTGTGTACATTCTAACCCATTCAAGATTAGTGCTTTTTGAAGAAACAATTCATTGTTTAGTTCCTACCAGTTCTCATTGTTTAAACATTATCTTGCTTAATTAACTTCTACCAGGCTGCAAGGCCTGGCATAGCCTGGTAGTTCAGGTGCTTGACTCGCAATCTGCGGGTCGCAGGTTCGAATTCCATCACTGAACGTGCTCGTCCTTGTAGTCGTAGGGGCGTTACAATGTCACGGACAACCCCACTTTAAGTTGATAAAGAACAGCCCAAGAGCTGGCGGTGGTGATGTTGACTAGCTACCTTCACTCTAACTTATCACTTCTGAATTAGGGACGGCTAGCGCCTACGGGAAAAAGTGTCAGTCGTTAATATGTTAGTTCCTTTGAGAGCTCGTTTGTTATTCCAGAATTCAGAAATTTCGCGCACAGCTACACAAAGGCGATATTCACATAGCAATTCATAATTTTGAATTGTTAGACTAGAGGTAGGGCATTTAGGCAAGAGCACCCACCGCAAACTTTTGGTCCACTCTTACGACGCACCCACAGCCCCAAAGTCCGGAGCGCTATTTTGCGACATCATTCTGACTATTTAGCAGTGGTATAATGCATACAAAAGTAACAGTAAATTCTGTTGGAATTAGAACAAAACACTTGTACTGCAGGTGTTGCTCACTGGCTACTTCTCCTCTGGTCAGTAGGGTTTCTGACTTGTCCATTCATCCCATGTGCACATAAGGTGTCGCGCAGATGAAAATACCACACAACTTATTTAACCTTGTTCTACTTATAAGTAAAGTATTGATTTTAATCATGTCATATTTCAGTTGCATGAGATTATTTTTACTTTTCTGACATGTAAAACCGGTATTTTAACATCGCCTTAGAAGGAAATTCAAAACAACACAATAAAAATATTACTAGTACATTAGAGAAGATACTGACCAATATGACCTTGAACCATGGATATCGGAGTCGTGTAAAGAAAACAATACCCCAACTGTATATTGTTTGAATACTAGAACTTTACACGTAAAAAGCTCCATCGACAGGAGGTGCTCAGCTGTAAGCTTGAGGGCATAGAATGCTAATAAGTGGGGTTCGATCTCTGAGGTGAACCAACCCATTGTGCGGTATTGTGCTTAACAAAAAACAAACAAAATCGGCCAATCGTGTTATCTTTTATATGCATTGCTACACATACAATCACTCACTCGTCAGCGTTGCTTCTACATAGTCTGGGGTTTGACATTTTACATGTCATTAAATTGATTAACCTTTATACAATTTAGCGTTTATGATGTTTCTAATACATTGATATGAAGAAAAAAGAGTAATAGCGGTTATGTTATATATTCCGAATTTCATATCCATCTATGTAAACAAAAATCAATGAATAACGTTCGTGAGAATCAGTTGTGTCGACAGGAATCACTTTCAATATATAGTGGATGCTGGAGATAACTTTAAACATAATAGTTTTTTATTATTATTTAAATAGGCATTACAACTTTTCCCTCATGAATATTAGAAACTCGCTTAGAAATTACTTGTACTAAGTTAATGGATTGGCAGTCATATAGGTGATTCACATTGAAATATGATCAAGATTTTAAGGTTTTTGTTCTCTCTCTCGTAAAACTTGTGAAGACTATAACAACAAATTAGAAATGACGTGTTAAAAAGAACGGTATAATTGATTAGAAGAGGTTTAGGTCGTAAACAGATTTCAAATCCTTAAGAGTTGTGGTAGCCAGGTAGTTTGAACAGTTAAAAAAAAAAAGCCTATTTTCTGATGTTTGCCTCAGTTTTATGCCACAACGGAATTCAATATTCTTAAACTTTAACGAACCGGATTAAATAGTTTTTGATTCTTCACTGTGTTGACAAACTGTAAACTAACATATGTTTTTTCGTCTTGAATGGTCTAAGAAATGTTATGATGATATGAGAGAGATTTTGTTTGATGGATTCATACAAAAAGCGTTATTAACGTGTTTTATGTAAAAAATAATAATAATACACGTCGTAATTGACAGCTACCAAACATCTTAAAAGTCGTTTGTGCGATTTACCGAAATAATTGCGCTAATTTGAATGTAAGATTAAATTGTTATGAGAAGGATGCGTCACATTTTTTTTTCATAAAAATTAACAAACATTGAGGACTACACTTAAGATAATTGAGTATTATATAGTCTAAAGATTTGAAGTTTGAGCTATACATATGAAGTGCGGGAAATTTCACAAATGCTCTTTAACTACGTATATGATTTACCATTTAAAATATATTACTGCAAGGAGCCTCAGAGAAGCATTTTGGAGCTGTAGATAAAAAGAGATGCATGAGTTTCTTGTGTCACAGAACAGCTATTTTCAAACATCAGAGGAATAAACAATCGCAAATGAAAAGTTTCGTCATATGACAACGTGAAATCCCAGTATAAGTCGTGAGTGGCTGGGTACGGAATGTACTGTGTAACTGTGAAAACAAATCGCATCAATATAAGATCTCCAGTTATCCGTAAACATTCATGCGCGTAATGTTGCAAGGAATGAAAGACCAGACTGTAATCCAATAGACTCCACATTTAATCTTACCTAGCGAAAGACACGATGGATCTCTATTAACTACATTGATTTCTATCTATTCAAAAGAGCTGGATGAAACAGTTAATCACATTCATCCTTACCTGGTAAAACATACGATGTATCCCCAATAACTACAGTGATTTTGAACTACTCAGAACAGCTAAGGGGTGTTGCAAAATAAATCACACTTTTTTCCCCGAAGTAATAAAGAACTTGGTAGGAACACGAATATCATCACTCAAGAGAAAACGTCATTTCAATGTACTCTTGGGTGTTTGACTGTTCGAATTTAATTTTTTGCGAAAACTTTTGAATCATGGTGCTTACTAGAACTCAGGTTCGTGTCGCATGTGCTGCCTTCGGGATGGCTCAGAAACTAGTCGCAGACAGGCTCTGAGAATTCAAGTCTTCCAATCAACACATCGCAATACCAGATTTGAAAAATCCGATTAATGCCTCAAAAGTTTCAGAATTGTTGAGTTTGAAAGAGTGGTCCGTGATAAAGTGGTGGAATGTGGAATGGGAACTCTCCAGATTTAAATCCCGCCGAAAATGTCGAAGCTTTCGTTCAACAATGCACAGAAGAAATGTTGGAAACTTTGCCTGAATACGAGAGACACAAACGTGAAACCTTGATTAGTGTTCTCACCGATGTGCTCACAGAGACAGCCACAAAAACAGACATGTTTGTTGCATTGCTGAAATATTTTGCAAATCGATTAAAACTCGTGCGTGAGAACAATGGTGACCCAATCAATTGATATTGATACTTGGAATTACTTTTTTGATTGAATTAAAATCTTATTTTACTTTTTTATACTCTCGGGGGAAAAAAAGTGATTTATTTTGCAACACCCCTTAGAGAAAATAGTTAATTATATTCAGTCTTTCCTACCGAATGATACGACCATTCACTATTAATTCTAGTGATTTTACATTACCCAAAACACCTTTCAATGAATAATAATTATTACCTAAAGTGACTGTGAACTACCCAAAACAATTAGAAGAAAAAGTTAACCATGACACGATGAATCAGTGTTAACTACAGTGATTTTGTTCTACTCAGAACAGCTTGAGAAAATAGTTAATCAGGTTCAATCTTACCTGTCCAATGAATCATTTTTAACTACAATGAGTTTTTATATAAGAAGAAAGGGAGTTAGTTTTCTGTTAGCTTGAGTTCTACTACTTCAGTGTGTTTGAATAGGAAGAAAAGGGGTTATTTATCAGTTGGAGTTGTACACATTTTAAATGCAGCGACATGTCGGAAGAAGACGAATGAATGCATTATGAAAAATGACACGTTTCAAGTTATTTAACACGATTTCAACTATAAGTGCATGTACATATTACCTATACATGGTTGGCGCGTTCAAGACACGAGGGTAGATATCTTCTTATGTAAATAATTTATGAAAAGCACGAGAAAGAAAACGAGGACACGCTTTTTCTTCAACCTTGAGAAGGCGGCAAAGAAGTCAACCTGACACACGAGAACGAGGAGACGTAGTAGTATAGGAGAAATAAACTATTATAAACATCTAAATATAGGGTTTGGAACGTATTAAGCTAGTGTGGGTGGAGAGACGGGCATTAAACTCGAAGAATGTAGGCTTAGTTGGAAAGTTGCGTATAGCTATTTTAAGTTTGTTTCACTGAAATGTTAAATTTAGCTGCGTTTTAAAACGGTAGCTGCACCATATTCATAGAAAAGATGAAAATAATTGCGCATCTTCTATACCGTTTATACATGAAGATTTAGTTTTATATGCAGGTTTATATATTTTTAAAACTCGTACTGTATTTCAATACAACAACTGAAATATATTTAATCATTGAGTAAGGGTTACCGTTATTCACCTGTACTTACTTTAAGAAAAGGCTTAAGAAATCAAGTGAAAACGTCGTTGTCACACAAGTATGACAGCAGCAAAGGAACTTGTCACTATTTCGAGTTCCAAACTTTCATTTATGCAGTGTGATATCCAATCTGTAGGTTGTTGTATAAGCCTTTTAGGGTTAACGTTAATTTTTGACGTCATTATGTCCAGTTTCGGAACGCCACTCAATCTTTGTGAACCCTGCTAACTATTGGTGTAATTGCCATGGTAGGAGAGGATACACGGCATGAGTCACGACCATCAGTCCTATGATACGTGTGCCATGAGAGGTCGTTAATGTGTCCCAAAAGACAGTAAGTCTTCCTATAGTATCATTGAACTCCCTTCTGATTTCTAATTCATAAACATTGTGCTATAGTCATTTCATAGGTTACTCTTATCGTGTGGGTTTCCATAAGTTTTGTGATGAAACATTACCCCGATAGCGACTCAAACATGATATTTACTGTGTGATTCATGCAGCTCTCTCGATAATTCACAC